GGCGTTTTGTAACCTGGTCATAAAAAGAGACTAGATTGGTCAGGCATGATCTGCCTGCCACGAGCCCGTGCTGGTTTCCCCTCAGCATAATTTGTCCTGCTGGGCTCTCACAAATGTGAGCCTTGATAATTTTTTCAAAGACTTTGCCAAGGATGGAGGTGAGACTGACTGGCCTATAGTTGCCCGGGTCCTCCTTCCTCCCCTTTTTGAAAATGGGGACCACGTTGGCCCTTTTCCAGTCCTCCGGGACTTGGCCCGTGCGCCATGAGCATTCGAATATTCCTGCCAGTGGCTCTGCAATGATGTCGGTCAGTGCCTTCAGCACCCTCGGATGGAGCTCATCCGGGCCCGCCGACTTAAAGGCATCCAGTTCTTCCAAATGACTCTGTGCCATCTCAGGGTCTACGCATGGTAGTCTGGCGCCTTGCTGCTGCCTCTCTACAACCCCAGTGAGAGACTTGTCGTGCCCCTCACTTAGGAACACTGAGGCAAAGAACTCGTTGAGGAGTTCAGCCTTGTCCCCTCTGTCCGTCACCAATTGTTTCTGCCCATTTAGCAGGGGTCCTATTCCTCCCTGGGCCTTCCTTTTACTCCCAATATATCTAAAAAACAATTTCTTGTTGTCTTTTACTTGGGATGCCATCCTCAGCTCCATGGCAGCTTTGGCCCGTCTAACTGCCTCCCTACAAGCACGAGCAGAGGAGGTATATTCGTCTTTGGTGATCTCTCCCTGTTTCCACTTTTTATGTGCTCCCCTTTTGTCCCTTAGGCTGCCCTGGATTTCTCTGGTCAGCCAGGGAAGCCTCCTGGCCCCTTTCCCCCTTTTGCCTCGCTCGGGGATCGTCTTGCTTTGTGCCCGAAGGATCATTTCCTTAAGGCACAGCCACCCTTCTTGGGCTCCCATCACTTCAAAACTCCTACTCTGCAGTGCGTCCTTGACTAATCGCCTGAGTTCATTGAAATCAGCTTTCCTAAAGTCTAGCACTTTCACCCTACTAGTTACCTTACCCACTCGACATCTTATGGTGAATTCTATTATTAGGTGATCATTGTAGTGAAGGCAAACAAACACATTGTGGGTCTGGGTTGGTTCCTTCTCCAGCCAGTTCTGGAAGGCAGCTTTGCTGCTATGCGTTGGATGTAAACAGCAGACAGTTTCAGTGGGACTGTAACCTTCGGCTAAAATTAGGAAACTTGAAGCTACATAACACTGTCCCCTTGAGCAGAAACCCTCAAGTGAGAGAAGAGGAGAAAAGAAAGGCTGAGCTCTTTTGTCAGGGGCAGAGTTTTCCTATCCTGTGTGTAAGGACTGTCTCTGTATGGACTTTTCCTGTAGTAACACAGAACCTCCTAACGCATTTCATACTGACGTGCACCTAACAGCCTAAGTCTGCTGAATGGCTTGCTTCGATCCCATGCCCCTTTTTTATGTCTCGTTCTAACCCTGTGCTAGTGACTCGTTATGCCAGGATGCCTCAGGACATGACATGGAAATCAAACGAATGATGCATCCCAATTGCAGGGGCTGCAGCATAGCACAGATACATCCTAAGTTGCTTGTATTGCTAGCAATGCAGCCGCAGCTGCCCAGCAGCTAGGAGTTTGCTGCAGGCTATACATTTTGCCTGAGTTTCTAAATACCGGTGTATTAGCCCAAGCTGAGCTCTGTGTCTCCCCAGCTACCACCTTGGAGCTAGCTAGCGACTCAGGCATGTCTGTGCTATGGTGTAGTCACAGCAGTGACTTCAATGAAGACGGTTCACCTCCAAAGTGGTGTAGACTGATGTCGGTCAGGGCTCTGGCCCTGAAGTGCAGCAATGTCAGAGGCAGCTAGCTCACTGATTCCCCAGAGGGAATTCCTATTGCTGGTAACTGCCCGGAGGTCACGGTCCAGGCCACTCTTCTTGACCAGAGCCAGAAGGGCATGCAAAATGTCAACGCCTCAGGGCCCCATTAGAAGAACCTCTTCATGAGCTGTCATACTGAAAGCTAAAGGCTGAATAACATGCAGTTAGGTCATTCCTCCACATAACGTCCTTGCTGGATATACTGGAAAGCGGATGAATTCCTCACTTAAAGTCATCATCTCTTAACTCCTGTCTGCAGCAGCAGCAGCGTCAAGGTTTGCCCTTCCTGGCTGGGCTTGCTGCAGAGGTCGCACTGGCACATTTTGGCAGCACGTATAGGGCTGGTCTGGTGCCTCTTCTCTTGGGCCTTATGGAGTCTTCCAAAGGCAGAGAGCCTGCGGCTCTGAGATCATTTCACTCTGCAGCAGCCCTTTATTGCCAAGTCAACGAGCAGGGAAAGCTGCATCCAGCTTCCTTTAGGCCTGGTGTGAAGGACAGTCAGTGTGATAGATGGTCTTTGAAGGAGGGAGAGAAGAGAAGGAGGGAAAAGAAAAAGAGACAGAGAGAAATCATCCGCGGTTCCAAGAAGCGGAAGGCTTCCCATCTCTGTCAGGGGTGGGAGGGAGAGAAATGCATGCCTGTAACTCCACGCTCTGAGGGGGCCCATCTGGGACTGACAGATCATAATGCATGAGTCTCCACTGCCTGAGGAAAATGACTGGCTGTGTGTGCAGCAAACTTCCCATCCCTGGCAATGGCCCCTTCCCGTGCACCGTGCCCTTCCAGGCAGGGGGCTTCCTCAATCAGAACCAGGGTAGCAGCATCCACTTGCCTGGTCTAATTAGTCCAGCTAAGCAACAGTGCCAAAAAAACAATCTAACTGGGCCACCTGTGCAGCCACATGAGCGCTGCTGATCTGTTTTGGGGTTAGGAAGCTGAAGCGGGAGCAGGGTAGTGAGCTTGGGGCACCACTGCCAGGACGGGCAGATTTACAACATAGACGCAGAAGGGGAAGAAGGGAGCTACTGTGAGCGAGCGTGGGTTATTCACAGCCTTTAAGGAGGAGAGAGAAAGGAGTGAGTTGAGATCATCCATGGGTCTAAAAAAAGTTCATAAACCCTCTATTTGCATCTGGGGTAAAGAGAACCCATGCAGGGCAGATGCTGGAGGATGGGAAAGGGAGGCCAGGAGCCCAAAGCCTTCAAGACAGCAACACAGCTGTAGAAACTCATCCAGTTCACTAGATCAGATGCCCCCCAGATAGACCTCCAAGCTAATCTAGCAAGGAGGACAGGCTGCAGGGTTGGGAATCAGCAATAAAAGTGGGTAAAAACTGGCCTGACAGGGCACCTATACATGTTATGGACCTTTGTTCCAACATGTGCTAATTAGCACACGTCGGAGCAGACTTGATTAATCGAGTCTGCTGAAGGGTGCTAATTAGTGTGCTCCAGAAGCCTCTGCATCATGTGTATTCAGTGTCGCCACATTTCAAAATGGCAGTGGGGGGGCTCTTTAACTAAAGCTCATTGAATGAGCTTTTATTAAAGTGCCCCCATCGCTATTTTGAAGCACAGGATGCTGAATACATGTGATGCTACAGGTGTTTTAATTAGGGCAGGTCTCAGAGCTGCTCCAATTAAAGTGCCCCCCGCACTCTGGAGCATGTGTATAGATGCCAGAAGCATGAAAGAACACGCTTTAACACGCTCACGCTCTGCCTCATTGCAAGCCTTATTTAACCTCACTCTGCTTATGATCGACTCCTCATTGCGACACTGAAACTGTGAAAGATGAATGCCTACCTCCAAGATAAGTTCCTTTTGTTCCACTTCGTCACCGCCTGAGCGTACCGCTTTCGCCTGGCTTCTGACTCAGCAAGATCAGGGAGAGAGCAACGAGGTGTCTTCATTAATTCCAGCGTGGCTTCATCTAATTTTCAAAGGAGAACGTAAAAAAAAAGGACAGAGGGAAGGGGAAGAGAGAGAGAGAGAGAAAGCCTTGAAATAATAGGATGGAAATTGGATATAGGATGGAAAGTCTCTGCTTTCAGCGAGTGAAACTGTGGGTTCAAAATATTAATTTCCTTCTCTCAAGGTGTTAGCAGAGGGAGGGGATGGATACTATGGGTGCAGGAGCTTTGTGAGGCACTGCACTTATCAGGGTGATGATCCCTTTAAAACATGCTGATTGCCATTTCCCCGTCACCCTGATCTAGAAGGGAATACTGCTCTCAACTCACCCAATGTCTGATTCTTATGGTTGCCGCTTCTCAAATCTGTACATCTGCCAAGATGGAATGACTGCTTTCAACACCATTGCCATGCCCATCACAGGGAACTGGCAATGCTTCGCCGGCAGAAACTACACAGCGCAAACAGCACCAAGTGTTAATTTTTTATTATTCTACACAGCCCTACGCCCCATTTTTTACTCTGCATCTAAATGCTCCAGTGGCATATGGGGCTCGTCTGCACAGATGAGGCTATAGCAAGGGAAGGCATCTCTCAGGAGGGCTGCTGCTATGAACAAGGCTCTTCCTATCTGATTAGGAGCAAGAGACAGCTGAGGCCCCAGGCCCACCCAGCTCACACATGGTGCTATTTGCTGGCGATGAATGTCCCCAACCATGGGTTGGGAGCACAGTGCTACAGGCTAAATTAGCATGGAGAGGGAATCATGAAGAGTTGTGTCAGTGGAACAGGCTATGATAGGGCCGATCTTTGGCCTTTCTCAAAAATCGCCTACAGGAGCACCGATTTATCAGCAAGGCATTAGACAGAAGCCCTGCATAAGAGCAAATGCTGAAAGCAGGAGGCCTGTTTGAATGCAGGAGTTACCCACAGATCTAGGACAGCTTCAAAGAGAGATATGGAACTGGAAGCGCCTTTGTCCTCACTGCTGCTCCCTTCCAGATGACATGGGTAAAGCTGATTTTCCCCATGCCTAGCTCCTCTATATCAGTGGTTCTTGTTTGACGCAAGGGATGCACTTGGAAAATATCAATTCCTAGTTTTCACTCATTTTTCGATTGTGGAAAAATAGTAGAGCAACTCTTCCGTTGCAAAGAACTTGAAAAGACTACAACAGCACAGAATGCTTTTAACGTTATGGATTCCCATTTGAAATCTGTGGATGTATCTTGTGGATTGTGTGCAAACACCCAACAGTGCTAACATTGTACAGCACCTTGTGGCACCCTTGAAAGGATTGAGAATCACCGACCTGCACGGATTGACCTATGTGGGTGAGAGTGAGGGAAAGCGAGGCCGTGGCTGGAAGCCCTGGCTCCTCACATCCATTCTCGGCTCTTTCATGAACACATTGCGTTATGCTCGGTTGGTGTAAATGTAAGAATGCCATCGATTTCAGCGGAGAATTTGGCCTGTTACCTTGTGCAAGAAACTCAGGTGCTCTGGGGAACCAGTGCAGAGCACACCAGCTGGCACACACTGATTTTATTTGAAACATAAACACTCCTTTCATTATTTCTCGTCTTTAAGCTAGATTGCCAATCATTCCCCTTTCGGCACAGGGCGGCCTTGTTAGACGGGAAATTGATTGGTAAGATGCTAATATTCTTTATGCTAAGTTTCTTTATTAAAAATTGATTATGCTTTTAAAAACTAGATCCTCAACTGGTATAAATCAGCACCACTCTGTCCGTGTGCCAAGTTAGAGATCAAGCCTTATATTTAAAACTAAAAAGAAACGCCTAAGTACAGAGATACAACCCAAATCTATGATTTACAAGGAGAAGACTGCAAGGCCCATTTGCAAACTATGCAGATGAACCAAAAAACACCCTTTATTCCTGACTTCCTGCAGTTTTGGATAAGTTGGAAAGGGAAAAAATAATTACACATATTTAATCAAGAATTGAAATCGAGGGTCCCAGTGATGGCCTGCTAGGAAACCTTGACTGAAGGCTGTTAAAATGGCACGAGAAACAGCTGCTGCTCAGAGAAGAGCTTGCTGAGAGTTGGCAAGGCACATCCTGGATCTGGCAAAAGAGAAAAGCCTGCTAATTTTCAGCTTCCCTCTAACCCTCTCCTGAGTAGAGGACAGGGAAAGCAAAGTGCTCACCCTATAAGGAGGTTGCTTCTATGCACAATGCTAGGCAGTTCACGGGGACAGGAGGAAAGATTTATCACCATAGAAGGTGGAGAGGGAGACTTCACAAAGCTCTGGACGATGCTTTTGTCCCCTCCTCTTGAAAACAGAAACCACTGAGGAAGTCTGTGGGAGCCGAGCAAGCAGCTTCTGATACAATTGGAACCGACTTCTGTACAGCACCAAACTTGTATGTGCTTAGTCCAACCAAGTGTAATCTCTGAACTTCAGGCACTGCTAATCCCTTCTAGGGTTGGCGAGGAGCCTGGATAGGAAAGACTTGAATCCAGTGCCAATTGTGAACGAACTGGATTTCTGGTGGATTCCTGGATTTGGTCCTCTGGAGCTCAGGGAGAAGCCACTATCAGGGCTCTGACTGGTAAACTACATCAGTGGGTCTCAACCTTTTTTGTACCAGGACCCATTTGTAAACAGAGATGGCCAGTCCCGACCCAGTGCCCCTCACTCCCAACCTGCTGTTCCCAGGCCCCAGCCCTGCAGTGAGTGGGGCAGAGGAGGCCCCAAGCAGCCCCTTGCAGGCTGGATCTCTGTCAGCCCTGCAAGGGAAAAGCCACAATTTCCCATGTTTTTCTCCTTTAAAGGAGAATCCATTTTTAAAGTTTTTTTGATTGATTTTTAAAGTTTGCCCGTGACCCTTCCATATATTCTTGCAACCCACTTTTGGGTCACAACACACAGGTTGAGAAGCGCTGAACTACATGGTCAAAACCTGCACAGCTCCAGGGTAGAAGACAAAGGAAGAGAAGGCGTGACTTGCTATGCTTTCAGAGAGGGACTCCTTTCCTTAAACAAGCTGGATATCAAGAGAGACAGGAACACAGTGTCTCAACCACAAGCATTATCCTTTCCAGTTTTGTGTCTCCTAGCATTTTACAAGCAGGGGTGAATTCACGGTCCCTCCAGCCCTCTAACAAAGTGTTATGTCCATTGCACAGAGGTTAAAGTCCACGGCAGAGCCAAGGATAGAAACCAAACTCCTTAAGCCCAGTGCTTTAACCACCTTCTAGTACCTTAACCACACCTCTGGCTTTGCTATCACAAAGGAGAGCCAGCAAATCTCATCCAGCTCCCAGGCATCTCACCGCAAAAAAGGATAAGGGCAGGAAAAAAAGGCAACAGGAGCAGCAGTGAGTGGGAGTTTTGGAAGTGAGTTATCCATCATACCTGCATCTTATCCGAAAAGATACCAGCAATAACAATACTTTAGCATAGAGATTTGGAAGGTTAAATAGGTATTTTTTCCACAATTGGATGGTGCAATTAATGCTTTGCAAGAAAACAACCCAGTCTTCATTTCCTCTCTCTCTTTTTTTTTTAAGCACATCAAGAGCTATTTTAAACACAGTAAGAACCCCAGGGGCCTTCGGCTGATGCAGTAATTGTCTGGTTCGAGTTGTTGAAAGCACAAGGCAAGAAAGCACCTGAGCCATGTAATTACTCCTTACAACAGCAAACTGGGCCGTATGTCATGCACACATTAGATCCTAAGGGCGCAGCTTGGCAGGATTGGAGGCAGCAGTCTGGTCCCTGCCTGCTCCGACAAGGAGGCACCTGATTCTGGATGGCCAAATGTCAGAAAGGGAGGAAGCGCTGTTTTCAAACTGACCTAGTATCCCCGTGGCTTCGAGACCTCCAAACTGTTGCATGGCTGTGATGGCTTTTGTGAGCTCTTCCTGGGTCTGCAGTTGTCCTGTGACAGGGTCCGGTGGAGGCAGGTAGCCAAATCTTGTCAGCCAGTCCTGTGAAGCAAGGAAAGGGAGACAGTGAGAGAGGGTAGAAGGATATGGGCAGGGAGGTTACACATGGAGATGCTTTTCCCAATACATGTTTACACCCCAGCTCCTCACTGAGCTGTACAGTCTCTGTTAACAAATGAGTGTGTCAGAACGGATCTGTATACATTACTTAAGTAATGGAATCCAATGACCTTCATGCATTCCAATGCTGACATTTAATTTTCCCATCCGGCTGCAAACTATCTTTGATAATGGCAACAGCAGAGTTATAACACTTGGGATTACACAGACATCCTTTATGCTCCCCTTGGGCTCTCTTGGTTGCTAGCGGAGAACTGTGTGTAGGGGACGCTGGCTGAGGACGACGGAAGCTGAACAAGATGCTTACTGCAGAGGCCCGAGCCAGGTAAAACTCACCTGGTTCAAGGCTTCCTGCAGTTCACAAGAAGAGCCGCTGCATTCAAAGCTTTGGAAGAAGCTCAGGGACTTTAGAAGTTGTTTGACTTGGCTCGGCCAAGATCTTCCTATATTCAGCACATCCCATTCCCACCAGCAGACACCTGTACATGCTTGCACAGCAGCCTCTTTGGGGTGGGGGTAGCAGAATGGGGCTGTCCCTCAGACATTTCACTCTCTCCACATTAGGGAGCAAATGCCCCATGTAGACCTGCTCCTGCATGTTGGGTGCTGATCCAATGGGTAAGGTTAGTCCCCTGGTCTCCACCATCTCAAGTTATCTTCTGGGGAGGGGCTGATACAGGTCTCTTTTAGCTGCAGACCCCCAGTCACTCTGCTGGGACTTCCTACTGCCTTGCCTTCTCCTGGTTAATTTTATTTTTGCACCCAAGACATCCCCGAATGCACTACTGGCAGCCCAGGGAACCGACGGGAGGCACTCTGGGGTGTCTTAAGACAAGGATAAAAGACAAATTGTTGGTGGAGAGGCAGCAGAGGGACTTGGGACAGCTCATCCAAGGGAAAAATCTGGGGGACATGCGGGACGACAGCTTTACAGTGCTTGGCCACTACCCCAAACACCAGAGAAAGCCGGACTCCATAAAATCTAGAATGAGGAAAAAGGCCTTTGCTTTAAGTTTCAAAATGAGTTTTTTTGGTGTCAAACGAACCTCAAAGCAAATAGTTCCTAAAAATGAGATACAAACTGAGAACTGAGGCTCTCTGAGATGCAAGCAAACCAAAGCTGATGGGTTTCACTGGAGAGGCAAGACTGATGTCTCGCATGGTTTTATAGCCTGCCTTCACCACCACCCAGCCCTGGGCCTAAGCAAGTCCCCACTGAAGTCTGCAGGAGCCTTTCTGCTGACTTCAATGGGGATTGAGTTAGGCCCTTTAAAAGGAAGCAGGTGGCATCTTCTGAAATAGTTACCAATTAGCTAAATTTCCAGGCAGCTGCAATTGCCCAAGACCCAGCGTTGATTAGCCCTAAGCTTAAACAAAACCTGAACCCGCAGAGAAAACTCAGGGAGACATGAAATTACGATGTGTTTCCTGGGAAATCATCCTATTGTACACACTGCAGGTTCTTCTCTTGATCTCTCCCAATTAGCTGTCAGGCAACATGAACTTTCAAGAAAGGATCTCTCCTTCCAGAAACAGAAATGCTACCCAAGTAATACAAGAGGGATGCAATTTACTAATCAGAAAGGGTTTAAGTTTTCTGTAAGGGATCAACGGCTGCAGAAAGATAAACTGTTCAACATCTTGAAGCCAAAAAAGTGATCTACCTTAAAAGAAGTCATTCCCTGCTGACTGCTGTCTTTTGGTACATTGCAAAAATACATCTGAACTTTTAAAGCATCCGTTTAAAAATATCATCCCATTGAGTCTTCCTGGCTTAGTTTATTTGACCAATTTGTCCCTTGATCAAAACGGATCAACAGCCAACGGTCTCTGGTGGTCTATGTGAACTGAGTTTGGCAGTCGTAAGCCAGGAAATGGACAGTCTCTCACCGATTTCAATAGTTTGCATCGAGATCTTAGCGATCTTGTAACCAAGAGTGTTACTTGACTGGCAATCGATCACTCTTTGAACTGCATTGGCAACAATGCCGTTCTGGAGACCTCTTTCTCTCGCTCTCTCTCTCATCAGGCCAAACACGTTAATGACATAATCAAACAAATAGCGTAAAACATCTTGCTGCAGCAGTCTTTTAAACAGCTTCATTTGTCATTTTTCTCATTCTTTCACTTCCACTTCCTCCTGTCTCAGCAAAGCAGGTTATTTATACCACCGTGAAGACATGATTTCTGTTTTCTTTATCTGTATCAAAGCCGCATTGATCTATCGAGCCACGAAGGATGACTGTTGAGCCAGACTTTTACCTTGGTCAATATACCATTAATTTGCTGTAGTAAGATTAATGCCGGAAGTCAGTAGCTGCTTAATGCGGGGGTTTGTCTCAAATCCCAACAACACCCAAATGGCTACCAAGATGATGGTGTTCCCAAGTTTATTTAATGAGTTAGATTAAGCAACTGAAAACGTACAGAGCTCTGCTGTGGATTTTCTTAAGCCTATTGCGACAGCCACATTACCATTCTTTAAAACAGAAGGGTCTCTGGTTTTGTCTCTCCCTAACTATTCAGGGCTTTTTTTCACCCTTTTTCATGGCTGGGTAGTTTTTGCAGGGTTACACATTATTACAGAGAAAGCTGCTTATGCTGCTATTTCTTATTGTTTAAATGCAACTCCAAGATCCCATTAGCAGCCACATCACTAGGAATACATTAGCCACCAAAGAGCACAGTCAGATAACCTCGCTGTTATTTCGTCTCACAGCAAGCACGGTCTGAGGGCTAGACCGAAAACTCTCATCTGTGTTTGCTCTCGCTGCTATGATTTGTCCCTTTGCATAGTAAAAACATTTGTGACAGAAATTAAATATACAATTTGCACCTGATTGTTCATGAGAAATGGTCTGTGACATGGAGTCCTACGTCGGCCCATCAATTGCCAAGGATGGTGGAGTTTAATTTGGTTTCCCTCCATAGCCATGGAGACAGTGTCATTTATCCCTTATTGTAGCAGAGCCTTTTGTACACTGGAGACCTAACTCATTCAGCGTTACTCTAGCCCTCTTGGAGAACGTACTGGAGGACAAAGGCTAGGAAAAAGAAATGCAACTGCGTGTGCCTGAGACGGACAGAGAGAGAATGCAGTCCAACAAAAGCTCTCACTGATTCAGCTGCAACGATCATTGATCTTTATTAAAAGAGAAAGAGAAGAAAAAATAAGTTAACAGAATCCTTTTGTCCTTCAAAACTTTTAGGACAAGACTCCAAGCTCCCTGGAGCAAAAAAGCAGCTTTATTGCTACCTTACAGCCTGAGAAGTGACAGACCCACCAATACAATGAATGCCTTAGGGCACATTCACAATGCTGATTCCTGGTTGCTCCATCCCGGATAGCTGCTCTTCCATGGCGCCAGCTGCTCTGTACCAAGTACGGCATCCTGCCGTGGTCTGTACTTGAGATACCCTTGCCAGAGGCACTGGATGCCACCATCTCTTCAGAGTCAAGGAGAGGGTGAGGCTTTTTCCTCTATCCTATGCAGCTACCTGAGCTAGGGGAAAAGCAATTGGATTTGGAAGAGACAGCAACTAACTACAATTTGCCAGGAAACTGTTTTCTCTTTCTGGGAAAATTTGAAATATTGAACATTTTTTCCCCCAATTCTGAATCTAGATTAAAAAAAAATTAAACTCTCAAAAATTCTCATAAGCCAAAAATCTGAAAGTATCTTCTATACGAACTTGAAACCCAGGACTTGTTGCATAGAAAGGGTCAAAATCCCTTTAAAAGCAAAGAAAGAGAGAGTCAAGAAGTTTGTTGAGACTGACCTTCTCCAGAGAAAGCTTTGGTTTCAACAAACTGACCTCTTTGGATGAAACATGCTGGGTCAAAAATTTTCCAGCTGCTCTACCACCGACTCCAAATTGAACATAAGAATATGGCTGAGATCTAATACAGGGTCATCGGGTTGGAAGGGGCCTCAAGGGTCATCTGGTCTAAGAGATGATCCTTGTGCAACAAAAGGAAGGATAACTTGAAGGTAAAGATACTGAGGCTGGACTCAGAAGTGCTGGAGTTGGGTCCAAAGCTTGGCAAAGTCACTCCATTTTGCTGTGCCTCAGTTTCTCATCTGTAACATGGGCATAACAATATGTCCCATTCTTTCAACCTTTGTCTACTTAGATAGCAAGAACTTCAAGGCGAGGTCTGTCTTTTACTGTATGTAAAATGCAGCAACTAGCTCACTACCTCCAGGGACTAACAACCAAAATAATACTGTGCACAATTCATTTTCACTGCTGACACAATCAGAGGGAGAATCTTTCTTTGGGTGCTGATGGCTTTCAAAGGCAGACAGAAAGATGTGGGTGGGAAGAGCTCAAAAAGAATCCAGATGATACAGCTTCATTGCCGAGCAATAAAAATGTACAGGGAAAGAAAAAGAAAAGTAAGAAGTGCCTACGTGGCAGTAGCATCTAGAGACACTTTCATTTGTCTGAAGCCTCCTTTCCATTGCCGTTGATAAACACAGCTGCAAGCAGGATCTTTCTTGCTGCTCAGCACTAAGCAAGTGATTGGCATAGAGACTTCTCTTCAAACCAGAGGCATTATGTTTATTGATAAAACATTATTCTGGTGACCTACGCATCTCCCCGATGGAGCTGTGAATCACTTTCCACCCAGTGGAGGCTCTGTTGGACGGGTCTAAGGTGGGGAGGTAGGATATCCAAACACTTTCACCTCCCGAGACAGGGGCATTAATAGTCCTGGCAGGAAGAAGGAAGGGCTATATATTAACTGTTAAAAAAATAGAAAAGGAAATTCTGGCGGAAACCAGTGGACACAGAGCCATCATCCTGATTGCACTGCGAACGCAGCCGACTGTTGCATCAAGGAGTCATCAGGAAGGTTAACCCCGTCAGGCACAGCTCCTCTATCTCCACTGTGTATTTATTTGTTTTACAGTACC